GATGGACATGTCTTCCTTATGACCTCAAATGTGCCCCAACTCAAATAACTTAGCTGATGGAAACCTTGATGGTTTCATCAGCTTTTGAATCACTGTCTTATATGTTGCACCTTCTTCACTGTAACTGCTCACCCTTTAAATTTGTCTTTGTTTAGTTAATTTGGTCTACATGTAGTTGTGAATTTCAGTTGTGCTGTCATATTGATTTTAACGTTCGTGTTATTCTCACTACCAGGGCTGGACTGGGACAAAAATTCAGCCCGGGCATTTTGACTGGAGACCGGCCCATCACCTGTTTTTTTTGGAAAAGACATTAAGCCTTACGCTGTTTCTGACACACACCAACGTACACTTTCTTATTGGTAGTATTTATGTATCAATCTAATAAACGTAAACCTACACCATCCTTCCTATCCTGGTATTCTAAAAAGTAGGGTTGGGGGTAACTGATTATTTTTAAAATGATTATTCTGACGATTATTTTATCGAATAGTCGACTATTCTAATGACTATTTAGATGATTAATCTAGCGATTACTTTTCTATTGCACAATTAATAAAAACCAAAAAATTCTCAAATAAATTCCTCCAAAAAATTGATAAGTCGTTTCTGTAAGAGAATAAACACTACAGGCCTTCCATTTTGTATAACACTGCTTTTATTGTGTTGCGGTTGTTTATGTTCTGGTGATGTGTAGAACTTGGGAGTGCAGGCTGCTGCCTGAGAGGTGGTTGGAGACGGAGTGTCTCCATGCTGCTTTGTTTTGTTCACTTATGTGCATGAGGCAAGTGGTGTTACGACCCTTCCTGGGGAGTCACGTGTTTCTCCTATTTTAACTGTAAATCCTTCTAGCTGTTATATTTATAACAAGAAACAGATATTCTGACAGAATATTTTCACGTTTATTCGAATATGATTGTGGAACACACCCAGCATCATAATAAATGAAGTAATATTTATGCCAATTTAAGCCTTTATGGGTGACCAGGACTCTGTGTTTATGAATGTGGAAGACACCCAGCATCCTGTGATGGCACTAATAACATCAAGAGATAATAAATAAGGTAATATTTAGGTCAATTTAACCCTTTACATGTGACCAGGACACTGTAATCAATTTTTGGCAAGGGAAATGATCATTTGTTGCCATTTTTGAAGTGTTTATGAATGTGAAAGACACCCAGCGTCCTGTGATGGCACTAATAACATCAAGAAATAATAAATAAAGTAATATTTAGGTAAATGTAACCCTTTACAGGTGACCAGGACACTGTAATCAATTTTTGGCAAGGGAAATTATCTTCTTTTCTTTTTTTTTTTTCTTTTTTTTGCCATTTTTGGGGTGTTTTTGATGACACAGTAGGCAGTATGAGTACAGTAACATCAACAGATAATACATAAAACCCTTATTTGGTCAATTTTAGCCTCCATGAAAATCTTAGTGATTCAATCACTTTTTGGCAAGTAAAATGCCATTTTATTTGTCTACAATTAAATCATCAATAAAGAATTTAAAGATATTTTGAGGCATTTCTTATAGGTAAACGGGAGGGTGTAGTCTATTTGTCAAGTGACAATCTTAATTTTATGTGCTGAAGTGCTTTTATCTTGTTACTTTTAAATAGAGCAATGTAATGAATAGCAACTTACACAGTGTCATTAAAGCCAAAGCTTGATCATTTTAAATACTTTTTTTCAAGTAAAAATGTGCCCCAAACTAGTTAACTGTGGCTCCATGTCAAGTGGACTAAAGAAAGGAAGGGGAAAAAATTAAATCGCTGGAGAATTGTTTATTTCCATTTATACAACGTTTACATTCAATACAGGGTACCATTTTACATTGTTTATTTATTTTTTTAGTATCAAGGCTGTAACATAAAGAAAGCCAGTTCTTACCACAAAGTTTATGGCACAAACCATCTTTCAATCGCAAATATTGCAAAAAGGATTAATATATCCTCATTGTGAACGTTTAAGATAAATAGCAACACTTAAAACAACTTCCGAACTGGAAAAACTAATGTGGCAAGGTGCAGAAATGAGTGCCCAGGCGGGATTCGATCCCCAGACTCCCGGGTGAGAGTCATACGCTCTAACCAGTCAGCCAAAGGGACCTCTCTTTGGCCGAGTAGCCAGGGCGCATGATCAATCGGGACATTGTGGATGCTCACCACACTGCCACATCTTCCTCCCTCTTTCCACAAGCACGTCCTCGTGCTCCCGCGCAGGCTGCCACAAACACTGCCACACTAATATCCGCGATAAACATCTGTTTAAGTACCGGAAGAGGTTATCTTTGCTTTCTGAATGTCCATATTGCTAGATATGCCGAGTTTTAGGGCGAAATCCTGGGGAATTTTGTCTAGAAATGCAATTACCTAACCGTGCGCGATCCCGCGGTGGCTAATCATTTTTTGGCAGCGAGTCAATTTATGGCACAACACCGGCTCGGGTTTCTCCTCCTCCTCCCTCTTTTCTTCTCCAACCTGTCGCTGGGTTGAGGCTCCATCACTTCCTAAATTGATTTTACTTGAACCTTCACTACCAAACAACTGTGAGATTTTAACACATGTGCCAGCATCAGCCTGAAGGGCCAGTTTCTTTTTTAGTCGAATTTTCTCCGCTCCTCCTTTCCGTTTTTTGTTCTCCATTTTGTTAAGCTCGTCTGTCTGTTTACTGAGATTCACAAACAACTGGCGGGTGCATCAGACCTCTGGCTATTGGTCCAGCCCAGAGTGTATTATTACCAATTGGCCAATCCACCAACTTTTACGAGGCGTCGCGTGGGGAGGCGCGGACAAGTTGTCCGCAACAACTAGAGGCCAGGAGAAAAAAAAAAAAAAAAAAAAAAAACAGACACCGGCCCATAAAAGATGAATGGGTCGGCCCAGCGGGCAGTTGCCCGCTATGCCCTATGGTCAGTCCAGCACTGCTCACTACTGGAAAGCACACTGAGTTGCGTGAAATGTGCAATACAAATAAAACCTTGCCTGGACCAAACTAGTGAACAGTTGTCTAGTAAGGCATTTAACAGTGCACTAGTCAAAAACTACCTAGTCAACGACTAATGCCAATGCTCACTTATTTTTGCTGTTTAGTAAACTAGCAACTAAGATCAAAAAGCCAAAGATTTAGCATTTAGTTCTCACTCACTTCTTACATCAGGAAGAATCCGCGTGTTTCGAGCGTTATCCGCTCTTTCATAATCCGTTGTCGAATTGTGATACACAGACGCTTTTCTGGTTCGCACCTCACCTTTTTTACAGGAATGGCCCAAAACGATCTCCTAACACATGGATGTTCTGCTTCCTGATCACGTGACGTGTGACGTATGCGGATGAAGATCGGCTTCAGGGCTGAGATATTTGTTCGCTCAGTGCGGGGGCTCAATCCGACACCCAAACAATAAAAAAAGGGCAAATGACGACTTTGGCAGTGAGTGGTTGGATTTTAAATGACAACTTTAGTCATCAATGGCAGTGAATGAGTAAAAGGTGTGGAACAATAAAAAACGTTTTAATGATTATTTCTGTCATTTTTCGTGCAGGCTGAACATGAAAATAGTCACCTACACCCATCTCCTGCAAACAGACGGTGAAACTCTAGGATTTAAAAAGCCTGACAGATCTACATCACACTGTTACTTAATACCCATCTTGACTCGCAACATGGAAGGCTGTTGTTGATTTAGCATCCAGGAAACAGCGGAGAATGTCTCGACTAATAGAAACTAACCATTAGCATTAGCAACTTCAGGCGTGTGTTATTTGGGCAGATAAAGAATCCACGTTGCAAGTCAGTGGTAGAGGCATGTCGTTGTGGTCCAATCCAAGGTGAGATGTCCAAATATCAGAAAACAAGACTCCAAATCCTGCTGTCTAAAGCTCAGCTGTGATGTGGCTCACTTCTACTTCCTGGAAATGGTGCACTTGTGTATTTTCTCCACAGAGCACAACTTACAAGGCATTCATTCCTACTAGAGATCACTGCAAGTGTACTGATTAAACAAGTGTTCAACACCTAACAAATATACTACGATTACTACAGGCTACTACATCAGAGCTCAGGAGCACAAATTATCTGGTGAGCATTCTAGGCCTAACTAGTTGACTAGAAAGGTCAGAAATAATTTCGCTGGGTAATTAGTTATTTTTTTCAACCTTACTGGTAAAATACCTCTAATTTTATGCTTGAGACGAAAGAATTTTGGACTTAACTTGTACCTTAGTTAAAATTTGAAGTCACACTTGTCAACTAGTTTTTGACCGCTAATAATAAACTTTAGTGCTGACTGCTTATCGCTTATTAGTTAAATTGTCCTACTAAGTTTTGTACTGCTTCTGTCGTCTATTAGACCACGAATAAGCAGAATAAGAAGTCTTAAAGTGATGGTGTGTATTCCCCCCGGTGATAGGGGGCAGTACATACCTAAATCATTGCAAGCAAGCATTATTTTTGTGTTCATTAAGACCTTATCAACGGATGGCCATTTGGGTAAAAAATCCTTGGGAGTGTCACCTCCAGCAAAATAACACGAACATCAGATTCCCTTTCATCACTGGCAATGGGTGAAAAGGTAAATGTGTAAAAGAACATGTATTAATGCTGAAAGTTTTGTAACCATTTGTTACAAATCAGCAAATGCATTCTGTCCTCACGGGCTTCCGTAGAAGTAAACATGGCATCCAATATGGCGTCGCCCAGAGACTTAGACCCACTCCCATGTATTTTAGACCCAATTTTATGGTTATATGATATGAAACCGCCAATATTTTCAACAACTGGGTGTCTTTTAATTATTTTACAACAATATTTCAATGGATATTTTTAGAGATTAATGGTAAAAACTACACATTGTCACTTTAATAGTAAGAATAAGTAGTCACTAACTAATAGAGTGAGCTAATTCTTTATGTCAGTGATATTGAACGAATACATAAATGACTTGCCGTAATGTGTCAACAGATCTCATGAAAAGCTTCTTAACTTCCTGTTTGCAGACGGATGCGGCGCTGATGTACGATGCTGTGCACGTGGTAGCGGTGGCCGTGCAGCAGTCACAGCAGATCACCGTCAGCTCGCTGCAGTGTAACCGCCACAAGCCATGGCGCTTTGGAAGCCGCTTCATAAACCTTATCAAAGAGGTAGCACACCGTCATCTACGCACTCCACAGCTGTGATTTTCCTCCATGGTTCTGAGTTAACAAAGCGTCTTTTTTCCGTACATCACTGCTATTCTGTGGCTAAACAATTCTGAAGCAGATTTTCAAAGCAAACACTTCTCCGCTGCCGTCTCTTGTGCCGATCGTCATTGTCAGATGCACCTCAAACGAGCCTAACCTTGACATTCTCAAAAAATCTTTCTGAAAATGCAATCTTAACAAAGAGAGAGAGAGAGAGAGAGAGAGAGAGAGAGAGAGAGAGAGAGAGAGAGAACACCTCATCCACAGCATCTACAATTATTTTTGCCCCCCCCCCCCCCACACACACACACACACGTTTTCTTTGCGCTTATCTCCTCCCGTGTTTCTATCAAAGCTTCTGTGTGTCTCCTTAACTCCAGTCAGGGTCAGCCATTTGCTTTGTTCTACAGAGCTCTTTCATTTTGTGGATGGTATCATTGCAGGTAATTTTCAGAATCAGCCATTGTTGTAGCCTGTGCTTCCCCACCCCCCACCCTCCTCCTGCGTCTGCCGCGGCTCTCCACGCCCATCTGTTCCCCCCGATGGCTTTGATGTTAAACTTCAAGCCCAATGAACCACATGCATAATGAACTCTTACCTGTCAAAGCTGCTTCTGTTCTTGCTGCTTTATTGTTTCTTGTTATGTTGCACAGACAGAGAGACAGAGCGAGAGCTAGGTGGAATTAATAATCGTGAAAAGAGAAGATTTAATTTTTTTAAAAGTTGTGTTGAAACAGTTGGGGACGAGCTTGTGAATTTTATTGTGACGGGGTGCGTTCTGGTTTCCAGGCTCATTGGGACGGTTTGACAGGGCGAGTTCTCTTCAATAAAACCAACGGGCTGAGGACGGATTTCGATCTGGATGTCATCAGTTTGAAGGAAGATGGTCTGGAAAAGGTCCGTCACTCATAACAACAGCTGATGTCTTACCCTTCGCATGAAAACAAAATGTTCTTCGTGCTTTGAAGTGCTTAATTCCCTTCTCGCTGCCTCGACAGGTGATACAAACTTGACACTAAATTGTTTCAACAGATTGGAACATGGGATCCTCCCAGCGGTCTGAATATGACAGAGACTCACAAAAGCAAGACATCCAACATCACTGACTCTCTGGCTAACAAATCCCTGCGTGTATCCACCATACTGGTAGACACGACCCAAAAAATCACATCAAATACAAAACACAAGGCTTTTTCTGTGCGTCTACACCAGCTTGTTGTACCCTTACAGGAGGAGCCATATGTGATGTTCAAGAAGTCTGACAAGCCTTTGTACGGGAACGATCGCTTCGAGGGCTACTGCATCGACCTTCTGAGGGAACTTTCTGCCATCCTGGGCTTCCGATATGAGGTACGATTGGTGGAAGATGGGAAATACGGAGTGCTGGATGAGGGCACGGGGCAATGGAACGGCATGGTGCGAGAGCTCATGGACCATGTGAGTGAGAAACTGTTACGTTGTCCATCGCGTTGTTTCTTTATCCTCTCATTTGAGCAAGCTTGAAGGGCTAAAGTATTAAAATACCTGACTACACGATTTTTTCACCTGCTGCTTAGATATGCAAGAATAAATCGAAGCTGCAAAGGAGTGAAAGAAAAGCCTTGAGCAGAAACTTTAAAATAAAGAACGGGGTTAAATCAATACCGTTGCTTTAGAAGATGAAAACATTTCTTGGGAGGATTATGCAAAAATAGACCTGAGCAAGTGCTTAGCTGCACAAAGAGCTAATGCTACGCTCAGAGGGGACACGGGGTTAATTTGTCACAGATTAATTCAACACAAAGATTGCTGCCTCTGTGACTCACCTTTGGCTCCACATAAGAGAGATCAGACATGTAACCTGTAATTTCCAGAGAAGATCAGCCTCCTACCTGCTTCTCCAGATGAAGTCAAAGCTTGTTCTTCTCCACATCCCGGCTCTTCCTCCTGTACACGTTGAGCTCGGGTCTCAAAAATAAATCAGATGAGAATGTATTTATGTATTTACTTATGTTGATGGATAAGGTGTTTTTGAATGAAGTCTGATGTTTTCCCTGGGTGTAGATGGGTACTCTAGCTTTCTCCCACAAACCAAAAGCATGTTAAGCTAACCCGGGGTGCATGAATGGTTGTCTGCCATTATGGGCCTGTGATGGACTGGAAAGCCATTAGGGGTGATCAGGGAGACAGGAACCAGCTCTCTGCAACCTTTATTAGAAGCAAATAACAAAAAAATGGATACTAATTGACTAATTTTCCACCACATCCCCTTTCTCACCACAGAAAGCAGACCTTGCTGTTGCTCCTTTGGCCATCACTTACGTCAGGGAGAAGGTCATCGACTTCTCAAAGCCCTTCATGACTCTGGGGATAAGTATCCTGTACCGCAAGCCCAACGGCACCAACCCAGGAGTTTTCTCCTTCCTCAACCCCCTCTCACCTGATATCTGGATGTATATTCTGCTGGCTTGCTTGGGTGTCAGTTGTGTGCTGTTTGTCATAGCCAGGTAACATGACAACCCCACCTGCCATTTCCTTCATCGCTGCTTCCGGTTGTTTTCATTACTTAATTACGCCTGTTCTCATAACATGGTTAAGAGCCGAGTGTCCGTTTTAAAAAGAACAGTGTCAGTTTCTGTCTACATATGCTGGGAAAGTCATTTTAGGGATTAAGGTAAGAAAGTAAGTTGCTAAAGATTTAGGAACCAAAAGAAAAAAATACATTAGTGTGGATTTTAAAAGGAGCTCATTTTAAATCTGGTTCTTTCCCACAAGCATCAGCAACTGGAAGAGCAGCAGCCAGCAAAGCCAGTCTCTCTCTGGGCAGCAGCTGTTGGTGACAATTTGAAAGCAGCATTCCCAAGAGGAGTTTCCAAATTTTTCCCCAAAAACTCTTGACTCGTCCGCATTTAGTTTCTGAGAAAAAAAAAGTGGAAGAAATTTTGAACTAAAACATTTTAGGGTAATGCCTTACAATAAGGGCCCCTTTATTAACGTTACTCTGTAAACTCTGTTACTATTGATTAGGCATTAAAACAAAAGGTTCCTTTAGTAACATTATTTAGTGCATTATTAGGCATTAATAAACAATGGGTCCCTTTATTAACACTACTTGGTGCATTAATAAGCAATAATAAACAAAGAGTTCCTTTATTAACATTACTTAGTGCATTAATAAGCAATAATAAATAAACAGTTCCTTTATTTACATTACTTAGTGCATTATTGGCAATAAATAAACTAATGGTTCCTTTAATAACATTGCTTGGTACATTATTAGGCATTAATAAACAATAGGTCTCTTTATTAGCACTACTTGGTGAATTATTAAGCAATAATAAACAAAGGATTCCTTTTTTAACATTATTTAGTGCATTATTAGGCATTAATAAATAATGGTCCCTTTATTAACATTACTTGGTGCATTGATAAGCAGTAATAAATAATGGGTCCCTTTATTATTGTTACTTAGTGAATTAATAAGCAATTATAAACAAAGGGTTCCATTTTTAACATTAGTACATTATTAGGCATTAATAAACAAAGGGTCCCTTTATTAACATTACTTAGTGCATTAATAAGCACAAATAAACAAAGGGTTCCTTTATTAACATTACATAGTACATTATTATGCATTAATAAACCATGGGTCCCTTTATAAACAAAGGGTTCTTTTAATAACATTTCTTAGTGCATTAATAGGCATTAATAAACAGTGGGTCCCTTTATTAATGTTACTTAGTGTGTTAATAAGCAATAATAAACAAGGGTTCCTGTAATAACATTGCTTAGTGCATTAATAGGCCTTAATGAACAATGGGTCCCTTTATTATTGTTACTTAGTGCATCAATAAGCAATAATAAGCAAATAGTTCCTTTAATAACATTGCTTAGTGTATTCATAGGCAATAATAAACAATGAGTCCCTTTATTAATGTTACTCAGTACATTATTAAACATTATTAAATAAAGGGTTCCTTTATCAACGTTCCAGCTTTTGTTAACTAGTAAGTGTCCTTAAGCTTAGGACAAAGGGCCAGAGGGGGTGTCAGCATAGTAATGAATTACTTAATATTAACATTAATGTTTAGCAGTTGTTAATAATTTATTTAATAGTTTAATAATGCTTAATAATGCACTAAGTTAAGTTAATATAGGGATCCTTATTATGTGTTGCCAAATTTGGAAAAAGTTGATGACCGAAATTAACTTTTTCACTAAAATGTGCTTCCTAGTATAATAAACGCCCCATGTGATGTGGCCAAAAACTGAATTTCAACTGAAGATTTGTACATTTTATGGCGATTCGGCCTCTCCAGTTATAGCCAAGACAGACGCTGGTTTAACATCCACCAATAAGAAACCTGCAGATCACCTACTGTCTGGATAAACCTCACCCTTTGTGTCCGCGACGCATGACTGATGCAGTGTGATGTGTGTTAACCCCAGGGCTCCTCTCCTTTCATCCCAAGAGGTTTTGGGTTTAATGCACATTTCAGCCAATGTTACCGGCAAAATGAGCTCACCAGAGCAAAGCAGCAACTGTCACCTAAGTTAGTTCAGAATATGCAAATTTTGCCCCTTTGATTCCACGGTTGGTCGGGGTAAGTACTTGGCATGAAATTATTCCAGCTCTAAAATACATTACCGTAATGCTTCTAATAAATAATAACATTCTCGCTTGCATGCTTATGCTGGGCCTTTTTTTTTCTTCTTCTTCTGAGCACCGTGTCAATCACATAAGTAGGTCTGGTTTTCACTACGGAGCCAAAAATATGCCGTCAAATCTGAAAATACAGTGTTCTCTACAGTTCGCTGAGCCGGTTCTCTCATAATTGTTGTATTGATTGCTCAGCCAACGATTGATTAAACAATCCCCCAAATGCTGGGCATATTATTTTCTTTAATCCCCTGCAAATAGAGTGAGCAAAGTGAGCTTATGAAGTCCCAGTTTTGCACAATAAAACTCCAAACACCTCGATCTCACCAGGGATTCGTGTCGAGTTGCTTCACACACACACAACAAACACACACACACGCGCGCGCGCACACGCACTGTATCCATCTCATTTCAAGCTCGGCAGAAATACATTTCACTCAGTGGTTTCTTCCAGCCCCGTTTGTGGCTGAATTGATTTCTTTTTGTTTGCAAAACAATTGGTATTCTCTAGGATGACAAAACAGTTCCCGTGCACAGTGACCACCTAAGTGGAAAAATGGATTATTTAAACTGCTTTATTGCATGTACACACGACTCGCAGTTTTTGTTGTTCTAGATGCCTGGCATGTTTAAGAACACCAACAAAGCCTCATCACTTCGTCTGAGATGAGAGAGACAGCAGATCTATAAATCCAGGCTAAGGAAATGAATCCAACTGAAAGTTAATGGAAGGAGGGTGTGTTTTGTGGTATTATTGTCATGACTGGTGAAGGGGAGGAGGAGGAGGGATGGGATGGGATGGAGGAGAAAGAAAGAAAGAGGCGAAGAAGAAGTCCTTTTTAAAATTCCGCATGCAATTCAACATGTCTCCTGAGCTCATCGTAAGGAGGTGACCTTACGCCGGCATGTTCCACTTCTCCTTCTTTTCCCAGCGATTGGAGTGCAGGACACGGCTTGCAGGAATACAGGCCAGCCACAGGCAAAGGTCGCACAGAGGAGGCAGCAGGCCCGGTGCGCACAGAATACACATGTAGACGCCGTGAGGAACAAAACACAATCCAATCAAGTGCACATTATATAGATCTGCACCCTCAACCTCGCAGTCTGCATACATCTTGTGTCGCCCTCAATCTGCCTCAGGCTGCGGCTTCACATTATACGTAATGACTGCGAACGACCACGAAGGCGCTTGACTCTCAGATGGATTTGATGGGGCCGACACAAACACACGGTGGCCGCAACAGAAACATGCACACGCGCACGGCCGTAAAGGGTTTTCAGGAAAACATTCACACCCTCAAGATTTGATGTATACCAGAAAAAACAGCAAAAAAAAGCATCCATTCGCACGAGCTGCATTCCACTCAGCTCCACAAGGCCGCTGTGCCATTACAGCTGCCCGTGGTTCCAAGGAGACCGAGCTCATTGGCATTCCAGTAAATCAGGCATCCTGATGGTGTTGACAGGAAGAATTATAGTGCGTCATCACCGCCATGTCCACATAGATGATTCGCAAGGGGATAGAATTGCAAATAGCGGCGATGGGAAGAGCGACAGTGACAAAAACATTGCTGCGCTCAGAATATGAGTAAAATAAGATGGTTAATTAGGCTGCAGAGACAACCATGATCGAGGAGAAGATTAAAGGAGGATCAAGTGACACGTCTATATTTATAGCTACAATTAACACGCAATAAACAAATCATCGTTTCTTCATCTATCCTAAGATTCTACATCTATTTGTCATTGTTACATGGAATATGGCTGAAAATTTTCAATCCAAATGCGAGAATAAAGAATAAATGCAATAATTATGAAGAACAAGTGTGGTCAAATACACATTTATATTAATTTGTGCTGACTCTTTCCTCTAAAGGGGACAAGTAAAACTAAACTGTGCCAGCAGCATGCTCTAACACCCCGCACTCAGATTTGTTTTACCCTCCAGATGAATGATGACTCACTAGGAAAAAAAAGACATTTTTTCCACTTCTCTTCAGACCAGCACCTGTGTTTTTTGCACCACTGAAGTCTTAAATGTGCATTCATCTGTGTAATGAGAGGTTTATGCACTACAACCCCGCTAAAATATCCTTTCACTGTGTAATTGTGAACGGCCTGTTCTTGCTGACACAGTCTGATCACGTCCTGGGTTGACATTCCCATTCACCTGAGGAAGTGTTGCTCCTCTGCTTTCCTTAAATATCCCACTAATAAATGAGAATCGCAGTCATTGAAGGGTTTGGCCACTCTCTCTCTGGGGCTATGTTTTTTATCGTTTCGCTGAAAATCAAAATGCAGGTCCGGTTAATTAGCTTTAGTTTGTTCCACTCAGGCCTCAGACACATTACTCTGAAAATTGTTAAAAACTGAGATTTTCTGCTACATTTATGCCTCCCTTCCAAACACAAATTGAGTTCCTGATGAAAAAAAATGTGTTTTTAAAAGCTCACTCCAAAGATGAAATTAAAAAAGAAAACTGTTGCCACTGCATGGAGTAGATGTGCAGATGTTTTTCAGAAACCATGCAATAACAGCCTTTTTCACAGCTCTATTTTAATATACAGGTATATTTATGAGTTATGCTTGCTCATAAGTCACCTAGTTAAATTCTAGTACATCCCCAAAATACACCAATACCTCAATTAATCAGTGAGAATCTTTTTTTTTTGCCAAATTTATAATAATATTCCAACAATGCAATATTTTTTCTTGTTTGTTTTTTTGTCAAAATGCATGCTGTCTTCCTGAGTTAACATTTAAAGAAAACTCATTAAAAGGAAATAAAAACTCCTACTGGAACCAGCCACTAGGGGGACAATCCTTTCTTTCCTGTTAGATGTCTTGTAAATACGTGTAAAGCCAATTAATCTTTCTCTGTATGTTGTTGTACTGTTGATCAGGAGCGTAACAATACAACATCAATAGGTCACTGACCTAAAATGCAAAAATTGATAAAATAACTTCATATCAAACACACTTTTATTTTAAAAATTGCTTTATTTTGAAGTTTAGTTGACATCACCACAATGTTAAAGCTGCAATACAAAATCTACGGAGCAAGCTAACTTTTGAACGCAGACATGGTCACAGTACACTCACCCCTCTACTCAGGTATCTTTCCTGGTTTTGCATCTACCGGAACCGGAAACCCACATAGCCAGAGGAAACTAGAGAGCACTAAACACCAGTTGTCCTTTTATGTGTCCAAGCGTCTTTTGTGGTCTGTGACTTCAAATGGTGCTTTTCTTTTGGGGACTCTGGTAGTTGGTCCTAAAATAGAAGCAGCCGGCGCTTTCTCTTCTCTGATATTATTGAGCAGAGACCCTCTCACACCAGTGGTGTTCTGTTGTTAAATATGCAAGTGGAGGACCTGGAAAAATGCGGAAGTGCTGCGGTTTGGTCAGAAAGACAACCAGATAGTCTGATAGTTGCTTGGAGTCCAAAACGTGTTAATGGTGGAGGTTTTTAGACAAATGCGAGATAACCACTTTATTAATGTTTTTTTATCTCAACACTACATTTATAGCTATACTATAATACATTGTTAAAGTGACAGTGTGTAGTTTTAGTCTTGTGTTCAAATAAGACCTTATATACGGATGGCCATTCGGGTCAAAAATCCTTGGGAGTGCAACCTCCAGCAAAATAGCAAGAACATCAGATTCCCTTTCATCACTGGCAACGAGTGAAGAGGTAAATGTGAAAAAGAACATATTTATGCAGAAAGTTTTGTAACCATGTGTTACAAATCAGAAATATATTCTGTCCTCACGGGCTTCCGTAGAAGGAAAAATGGCATTCATTATGACGTCGCCCAGAGGCTTAGACAAGCTATGCTATTGTTGTTTTAGATGAAGAAGCTAGTGGTGTCATGGCGAGCAGTGAGAAAACAGGGAAGAAATTATTTTTTATATTGATCATATTGGTGGATCCTAAATCGAATCCAATCAAAATGGTTTAGTGACTGAAAAGATAACGGCAAACATTGTGATCAGTCTAGTGATTTACACCACTACTGTTAATGTGAACATTCACGCTTCCTACTGGCAGATCGAGGGTACTTTAGAATGTTTGTTTAATTAAAAACAGAGAAAGTGTGTATAAGTTTAAACAAACATCCAAAGTAGTTTAGACATTAAGTTAAAAGAAAGCTTCTTGGTATCGGATTTCTTGGGCATACGTCCTCACAAAGACAGCTATCCCAGCGTGTGTTTGTTTTCGTGCATCCCTAACAGCCACAGCTGACAAATTGGCATTGCATTTCTAAAAAGTCTAAGCCTTTAAGACAGGCCCACAGGCTTATTAGCATGCACCAAGTTGGGGAAAAGCTCCTCACAGCATTAGCTGACGGGCCCCTCAACTCTGCATAAGCAATGTTCTCTCTATCAACCACTTCAGCACAAACTCAATCAATTCCTGATGCTTAACACTAACCCAATCACCTTGCGCTAATGCCGTGCCACTTTTGCTTAGGATAATAAATGGGAAATGTCCACAAGTGACCCGAAGACACTGACAATCTGCCAAGACAGGTAGCAGATGGATGGGGGTTAAAGGGGGAGGGTCATAGGGGAAGAAAAGCTGCAAGGGTAAAATAAGGTGTTGGTTGTGAGGACGTGGATGGGTACTGGTTGGAGAAAGGGGGTGAATGTGTGAAGACAGGGTGAGAAAAGAGGAAAAGCTGCCAGGAAGAGATGTAGGAAACAAAAGACAAGAGAAAAAGGAAAAGGAACCCGAGAGCATGTCGGTAATTAACTGTAATTTTTAGCTATCGAGGAAAGCGTTTAAAAGCTCCAGAGTAAGTGAATGAAAATGCAATTCAAGATCATCACGCACCGGGACATTATCACCGGTGACAGTGTTATTCCAGGCTATTGATCTGTTCTCACAATAAACCGATGGCATTTGAATATGCCAATAAACTGATTTCAGTGAAAGCTCAAATGATTTGCTTTAGCTTCTGCAAGAGCTCGGTTTTCGAGGGCATGCCCACATTTACATTCTCTTTGTTCTTTGCCGTTTCCAAGTCCTGTGTCATCAACCATTTGCTTTACATCAGGGAATTCACTGTTCTGTACCTTATGTGCTGACTTTTGTGTTTTTCTGCTCTCTCTCTCCTATAGGTTTAGTCCTTATGAGTGGTACAATCCACATCCCTGCAACCCAGACTCGGATGTAGTGGAAAACAATTTCACGCTGCTCAATAGTTTCTGGTTTGGAGTTGGGGCTCTCATGCAGCAAGGTATTTGCCTCAACCTGCGGCTGCTGTTGCTCTGTGGAGCTGAAGCTCTCTGTACCCCACTGTTCCCAAGGGCTGGAGTTTTTAAACAAAGCCGGTGGCAAAAGAAGGAGACTTCTGAAGGCTCTTGGCAGGATGCATCTCACAGGGAACAAACTAAGCATGAATATATGTCAATATAGAGTCACTACAATGTTTATGCCATTTAAGAAAAAAAGATACATTTTGAGAAACATTGGACAAAATATTTGAGACACCACAAAGGTGACTTAAAACTAAAGCTCTCCAGAGAACAACCTGCTCGTAGCCTGGCAAGCCATCCTATAAATGTGAATGTTTAGTCTGGCCACGGTCACTTGACGGCTCTCAGCCGTGCGGCGGGATCTACGGTTGTTTTTCAAACAGTCGCCTCTTTCTATTGGATAACAAAGAACATGACATACTCACCGCTACGGTTTTCAGCCAACAAGGCACACGCTATACTCCGTCAAAGAAGATGCAAATACATACTTTTTTGAAATAAACTTTAGTACCTCTATCTGCTCTTGAGTTAATGAAAAGCCCAAGTCAAAATAGTCTAAAGTTGATGCCAAAGCCATTTCAAACGAGCCGTGACATCTTAGTATCAGTAACATCCCGCCCGCCAACAGAATGCTGTGATTAGATCACCAAACTAATAGAGCGCTACTATTGGCCTGCTACAGAGCTGTGGCCATCTTGGTTTCACTCAGTCGCCGTAACATCCTGCCTAGCGGGCTGATAGAGCGCTAGGATTGGTCCACCAAACCAATAGAACTCTGCGATTGGACTGCTACAGATGTCAGCCATTGGGGCATGTCCGCCATTACATTGTGTACAAACTACAAAAAATGTAAAAAAAAAAAAAAAAAAACATATAATAATACATTGTTTTTCTAAATAAACATGCTGTGATTGGTCAACTACAATATTGGCTGGAGCTGCGAAGTTACAATGGAACGTTGCTTGATTTTGATTCAGCCAGTGACGGTCCAGATATTAGGATGACGTGTTAGCTACTGAAATTTCCCTAAATCCCCTAAGACTGAATTACAAAGCATGTCTAGAAAGCTCTAGACATCTGAGATCCATCTGGTTTGATTGTGTTTTTTCCAAAATTTGAATGGAATTTTTAATGTTTCTAAGCATTCATGAACCCTTCCTTCTAAGTAACTCCTGCTACTGCATTCACATTTAAGCGATCAATGTACATTTGCTCCACTTGTCTCAGCACAATCACTGATTGTGTCTTTTGTTGTGGAGAAGCACCTCTCCTAAGATAGAAAACAAAAAAGGCATCAGAATTGAGTCCTAAAAACAAAACTATCATCTTAAGTTCCTGTAGTGCGGACATAAAGAGAGACGGCTCTCCTGATCTGACTTCAAGAACAACAAAAAGGCTTGGCAGCACGTCTAAAGGGCCAGTTAATAAGGTTTTTGCTTTAATTTGATCAATAAATGTAAATGGCCCAATGTAATGGTGTTAGACTAATGACACTATATACATTTAAATTAGCTCCTGAGAAACTTCTTTTTCAAAATCCAGTACCGTGGAAAATACACAGCACACTGATGGCTTTTCTGCAGGACTGATTACTCAAGAACAAACAACCTTAAAAGCATTCTACAGCTCTACGCATGACAAAGACTTCCATTCATTAGATCAATGTTTTTGGCCATTTGAGCTTTTCTCAAGATCAGTAAACAGTTATCATGATGCTGGGCATCTTAGAAAAACTAGCACCCAATAAACATAAAGATTTCCTCATGGTTTGTTTCAGTGATTTTCTACGAGGCCTCCGTAGTGATTTGTAGGATTAGCAGTTGGCCTTTACGAAGGACTTTTCCACCCTAATGGGAAGAAGTGATTAGTTCAATCAACATCAGGTACGTGTAGACGGCATTGGCCTGCAACATAAAACTGTTCACTGTGATAATTAAGGGCAGGTGTTAAACCAAAGAAACAGTTAGTGATCATAAACATTGTGTGATGTTGTACATTTCAAAACTACCAGACAATCGAACATAACCTACAAGTTGAAGTTAGCAGCCTCCTAGTGGCGGATGCAGTATGGATTTTAAGTCCTACCCACTTCATGTTTAATTTACTCAACTAAAAATCAAAAGTACTCCCACTTATTCACTCTTGCTGACTCGCAATGCTCTTACCTTGCTGCTTAATTTTGGAATGTTGATTTTACTACTACTTTTAGTCATAATTAGTTATTTGATGCTTTGAAAACACAATTATTTTATGTGGAGAGTTTACAGCACTTCCAGCTGCTAACTAAGACCGTAAATTGCAGGCTCTACTTCTAAAAATCCAACAGATCACTAATAAACCAACCATCACCAATAAATGTGTCGTTTGTATTTATGTTTTCGATTTATGTTTGAAGAACAGAAAGAGGCAGAGATATGTTGTCTAGTTCTTGTTCTCGATGATGTGCTACTTAAGGCGAAGATGAACTACTACTTAAATCGACGATGGACTACGTATGGCGAAGATGTACTACTACTTAAGTTGATGAAGTACTGCGTATGGTGAAGATGTACTACTAATTAAATCGATGATGTACTACGTATGGCGAAGATGTACTACTACTTAAATTGATGATGTACTATGTATGGCGAAGATGTACTACTACTTAAGTTGATGAAGTACTACGTATGGTGAAGATGTACTACTACTTAAATCGATGATGTATTATGTATGGCAAAGATGTACTACTACTTAAGTCAATGATGCACTACGTATAGCGAAGATGTACTACTACTTAAATCAATGATGTACTACGTATGGCGAAGATGTACTACTACTTAAATTGATGATGTACTACGTGAGGCGAAGATGTACTACTACTTATGTCGATGATGTACTACATATGGCAAAGATGTACTACTTAAATCGATGATGTACTATGTATGGCGAAGATGTACTACTACTACTTAAATCGATAATGTACCACATATGGCGAAGATGTACTACTACTTAAGTCGATGATGTACTACATATGGCAAAGATGTACTACTACTACTTAAATCGATAATGTACTACGTATGGCGAAGATGTACTACTACTTAAGTCGATGATGTACTACTTGTGTTGACAATGTGCTATTTTTAATTTATCCCACTGGACTGGTTGCATTAAAAAAACATCAGTGGCTTTCTGATGAGAACTGACTCTCATTGAGGTCTTGCACACACGAAAACGTAGATCCGGTTTGTTCATGACTGATACGTCACCAATACCAGCTTATTTATAGATTTTTGAGGAGAACCAAACAGCCATTAGTAGGATAGTTAAGGGTATATTCATGGTCTTAAAGCAATTCTAAAGGATGGTGGTAGAAAATCTGAACACCTACTTGAGAAATATTGATAAACTAAGTTCATTGTTCGTTTTCGGAGCTGCAGTGTGCTGCACCTAATCCTGTCTTCTATCTGCTTCATTCCAATACAACTCCTACTGTGGTCTGGTCTTATTGATGATAAAATTATCTGTACTGTAATATTCACGTTATGCTGAAGATGAGCAGTAACCAGGATTCAGAAGAAAACTTTAAGTGATCTAACAAACAGCAAGGCAAACTGTCAAACTCTAGAAGATAACACTATGATGATCCAACTGCCGATATTCAGTCTCTTGTTCTCTTGCCAGTTGCCCATCAGCACCTTGAGATCAGTGGGGTGTGGAGTCAGGATGTGAGGTTACCTTGGGTACATGACTCTCTGACTCAAACAGCCTCTCACTTCTCCACACTGTTCTGAACAATCAATACTGAGTGTGTTTGATTTGGAATAATTGATTTTATGCAAACATTTTGTTCCCAGAAGCCGTTTTACAGAGTACTTTTGGCCTTCTGCTGTATTAGTTAAAGCATTTACTTCAAGACAGTTTAGCTTCTTTGAAGAGTTTGAAGACGTCTCGTGTTTGGAGGTCTTCCAAGTGATCTAATCACAATGACAATGACACATTTGCTTGAGCTCAAAACTTGGAGTCCGGTCCTGTAATTTACTTACAAGAAATAATTAGACTTAATGAGAAGATTAGAACCATAATCAGGACTTATTGAGATGAACGTGTTTTGCTGTGTAACATTCACTTCTGCTGCTTCCCTCATCTCAGGCTCAGAGCTCATGCCCAAGGCCCTGTCGACTCGAATAGTTGGAGGGATCTGGTGGTTCTTCACTCTCATCATCATTTCCTCATACACAGCCAACTTGGCTGCCTTCCTCACTGTGGAGAGGATGGAGTCTCCGATAGACTCCGCTGATGACCTGGCCAAACAAACTAAGATCTTGTATGGGGTGGTGGAGGATGGTGCCACCATGACGTTCTTCAAGGTAGTGGTTTGTCTTTTTAACCACCCTTAAAATTAGTAAAATGTATGTTTTGGTTGATTTATGTGACACGTAAAGTATTATTACTGAACTAATAAGCTATAGTTTAACTCATTCGCTGCCAGCCGTTTCCTGATCTGCAAAGCCCTTCGCTGCCAGCGTTTCTCACCGTTTTTACTGTTTTTTTTAAGAATCACAGAACGTTGCACGCTAGGACGATGTCGACGCCTAAACAACCAAAACAAAGAAGAGACTCACCTCGCGCGTTTCGAGTGTTATCCGTTCTTTCATAATCCATTGTTGAATTGAATTGAAGCTTTTCCGGTTCGCGTCTCACCTTTTTTACAGCAGCGGCCCAAAACGATCTCCTAACACATGGATGTTCTGCTTCCTGATCACGTGACGTGTGACGTATGCGGATGAAGATCGGCTTCAGAGCTGAGATGTTCGTTCTCTCAGTGCGGGGGCTCGTTCCGACGCCCAAACAGTAAAAAAAAGGCAAATGAGGACTTTAGTCAATTTAACTTTAGTTGATTGGCAAATGTACTGTGGTTCTGTGTAATGTTCCCATCATTCATCTTTGTGATGCCGCCCAGACCCTGTCAGCATAAGCTTGGTTCACACTAATCATGCCAATTTTGACTAGTCCCACCCTTTCTGATGATTTTGGGGTTGTGCACCTTTTATCTAAAGATCATCTTATTTAAGATTTAAGATCTTTTTATTGTCAGTGCACAGGTGTGCAACTAAAACTGATTTCATGCTTACTGAATTTCCCTCCGGGATTAATAAAGTTCTTTTGAATTGAATTGAATTAAAGACAGCTCACATGAGGAGGTAGTAAAATATAAGTAAAATAAAAAAACAAGGCTAAAATAGAAGTCATGCACACGCTCTTTCATTATCAGATGATCCTACCTTGTGTGGTTTGTCATGAGTGCTCTGGTCTGCTCACAAGGGCATTGGGAGAGCTCCAATCATAAATCTGGGTTGTCGAGCATGTTGGATTGTCCTGGCCTGATTTTCCAGAAAAAACAAATGCGTTCCTTGTTGAATGAGATGTGTAGCCAATCAGAAAACAAGGTGACAGAGCTGCACAGCACCCTCCTCCTCCACCATGTTAGTTTATATAGAAGTCACGTTTTAGTTTGCAAAAACTCCCTTCTGAGCGGGGTATGTCTGTGAGTGAAAGTGGTTTGTGTGTAGTGTGTAGTTTTGCAAAGTTGCTGCACACCACACACACTGCGGAACCAAAACTGTCAAATCCGTGATTTTTTATTTATTTCTGTTTTTTTCACCACATATTCGGTCTTGAATGCTTTGAAAATTGGCCAACAATTTAAAATCTTGTTGTGTGAATCGGATTTTACGAATTTTACGAAAGTTTTTTGGTCAAAGTGGATCCAAATTAATATGCATACTTTATTTTAATAGCATTTACTAAGTAATTATTATTTTTCATATATTGACTGTAATATAAGACTGGACGATACAGAAAATGGTATATCGATAAAAGAAATTACATTGATCGATATCAATAATTATTGAAATACATTTTTACAATTTAGAAAATTTATTTTACATGCAGCCCTGGCCATTTTATTTTTAGTATAATTATTTTTTTCTCCGCCTCTTCTCGCTGAGACATCTTGCTGCCTCATGCTCTGTTTTGGTTTGAGAGGGGAGGGCCTGCTGACCTAGCGTGCCCGAGTCTGTAGTTTTATTGGTTAGGGGTAAGTAGTGAGTCTAGTATGCTTCTACCTGATAGGTTATAATGAAAAAAGGTTATAATGATGTTTTATTTTCATTTTAACCTTGGAAAATTTTGGAGATTCTGACATTAACGCAAGTATCATCCTTACTGTGCTTGAGAAGCATGATGCTATGCCCCCACTCTCCTTATCAAAGCATTCAAAGGCAGTAGTGACAGCAGATGTTCACCCCCCTGCATCCAGATTGTGGCCACTACTGGATCACAAATAGTTCAGATACTGAAGGAGAGTTTCAATTGTGCCAGAAAAATACCAAGAATCACTGGAAAGGAACAAGTTACAATGAAGGTACCTTTGTTAAAGTTACTTAGTGCATTATTAAGCATCATTAAACTGTTAAATGAAGTAGTAAACAACTGCTTAACCATATTATGTAATGCATTACTAAGCAGAGACACACCCCCAGCCCTTTGCGCTAACCTTAAGGACACTTAATAGTTAACAATAACAGGAACGTTAATGTTTATTAATGCTTATTAATGCACTAAGCAACAATAACCAAGGGACCCTTATTGTAAAGTGTTACCAGTTCATTGATAGCTCTGAACATGTGTCTCAATCTTGATTAAATCATTTCTTCTACAGGATCTTTTACAATTTTATTTGATCAATTATGCACAGCAGATTGTGACATTTAGTGGTTTCTTGCTACTTTTAGGACAGCAGTAACTTCACCGGTTAACAAAATCAGCGTTTTTTGTTGTTGGAAAAACGAAACTTTTGCAAACATTCTTGCTTCAGTTTGATGATTTCTGCATCATTTTAAGGGCATATTGTTGACTCCTCCTTCTTCTAGTCGTATTGCTTGCATATATTTACAGTGAAGATCTGAATTTCTCAGATAACAGAGGAAATTAAGACGTTGATGTTTTTGGTTAGAGCATAAACACTCAGGGACACTAAAAAAAAGGTTTTTTTAATTCTGCTATTCGACTACAGCATCAGTGGAGTATTGTTTTAGGATTTGTTGAAGCAGTGCATCTTGTGGCTTTGTAGCCTTGGTACAATATTTGTGAGTGATTTGCTGACAAAAAATGAAAAGGAGAAAAAAATATGTGTGTTTTGAAATTTCATTGCATCTGAAATGGAGTTTTTGCTAATTTTGCATTAATAATAATAATAATAATAATAATAATAATAATAATAGATTTTATTTGTAATGCACTTTACATTTCAGTGAAATCTTAGAGTGCTACAGCAGAAAATCAGAACAATCGAAAGAAAAAATTAAAAACAACCAATAAAAACCAATAGAACTATGTATAAAACCATACAATGCTAAGGTTAACTCAAGGTAAAACAACATCAGTAGCAATAAGTTTGGAAAAGCCTGTGTAAATAAAAATGTCTTCAGTTGTTTTTTGAAACACTCAACACTCTAAGGTGCTCTCAGTGCTTCCAGGAGTGCTTCCACAGGCTTGGGGCTGTTGCATGGGCAGTTGCAGGAATTGAGAATTACTAGAGCAAATATTTATTCTGGTAAAGCAGATAGTGAGGAGCTCTTTAAGATAAATAGGAGCATTTCCATGGATACATTAATAGGTAAGGAGACATAGTTGTATTTAATTCTATAGGGGGTTGGTAACCAATGAAGAGACTTCAGTACAGGTGTGATGTGGTCATACTTGTGACCCATTGTCACAATCGTGGCAGCACAGTTCTGAATGTGCTGAAGCCTCTGTAGGCATCCACTAGAGAGTCCAACGAGTGGAGCATTGCAGTAGTCTAAACTAGATGAAACAAAGGCATGGATCAACTTTTCTGCAGAAATGGGCAAAGTCTTGCTTTATTTTTAAGATGGAGAAATGAGACTTTAGAAAGGTGGCTGACATTTTTTTCAAGTGATAAATGTTGGTCCAGTTTGATCCCAAGATTTGTGATAAACAGAGAAAATGTTATGTTGCTACCTAACAGTGTTTTTGTAACAGAGTGAAATATAAATGCTTGCTGACATTCATGCATCACATGTAGGATTAATAATTTATTAAACACGATATTTATTAGGGTGGCCAATAAAAACTGACCTCATGAAGGTCCTTTAAGTATAACTTTTGGTTTTCCTGGCTTTTTTATACCTTACACATTTGTTGGACCGTGTAGGGAGGGTTTTACGAAAAACAAGCTGCACAATAAACAGAGTTTGATCAAATGTTTTCTTTTGTTTGCCTGCAGAAGACAAAGATCTCCACCTATGATAAGATGTGGGAGTTCATGAACAGCAGGAGGCAGTCGGTGATGGTGAAGAGTGTGGAGGAGGGCATCGAGCGCGTTTTGACCTCTGACTATGCCTTCCTAATGGAGTCCACCACCATCGAGTTTGTCACCCAGCGAAACTGCAACCTCACACAGATTGGAGGCCTCATAGACTCCAAAGCTTATGGAGTGGGAACACCTATGGGTAAATGACCTGAAACACCACTCCCCCTTTTTGTGCATCTGTGTTTGGCTTGCTGTGTTTTGAGGGTATTAGGCGATAGATAAAGTTATATGGTGTGTATGACAGATATAGTCTGAGAAAGGTGCGGTTGATCAATCTTTATAGCAGGACTATGATCGTAACAGATCCAGAGTTGGGTGTAAAGCATTTGGCTAAATGAAAAGCAGTTTGCTGGCAAAAGTTGAATTTATGAAGGACATTAAAATGTGCTCTCGGTGCCTTTTTTCTTTCCTCTGTAACCATAACGATTGTTTTTCTCACACAGTAAAGGATCAACGTTATTTTGTTTTTTGTTGCATTCCACTTTGAGGTCACGTAAGGCAGAAGTGTGAGTGCAAGACTGAACAACAGCGGTATCTTTAAAGTGAAGGCAGAATAATCCTTTTGACTTACTCCAAACAGTCGAAGTTGTTTCTGATCATTAAATAACAACTAAAGAGCACTTCACAGAGAATAAGCAAGCACTTTCAACTGCTTTCAGCTGCCAATTCGACCCTGTTCGTGTCCAAACCACCGTTATCACCCTGGGATGACGCACAGAAACTAATTTTTACCCCCCAAAACATTGTGTTCCTCTAGCCCTTAAGCTAGGGTATGAAGCCGGAGCACTTCATGCACAAATAAAAGTACCAGAGAATGTGAGCGGACATGAATGACCATATGTTCATTCTATTTTATTTATGGAAGCCGCTTTGAGAATGTTGCTGTGGCCGTGCGCAGGACGCAGCTGCCTGGAGCGCACAAACATCCGGCGCTCTGCGTCCTCTCCACTCAACAGAAGCACCTGTACGCTCAGATAAATAATGTAACGAAGGTTGAAACAGGGTATTTTTTCGGGCTCCCCTGGGTGTGTAAGTTGAGGACCCCCTGGCTCCCCTTAGCTCCCCCATAATTCAAACCCTGACTTTAGCAAAGCCGAACAACATAATTCCGACTCAGTTCTGAACACAGCAGCTGGGAAACGTTCATATTTCAGAGAACAGAGCCACAGGGGTTAAAGTGGTCACGACAAGGCCACTGAGAACCCTTTTACCAGCTGTAATCGTGACGTTTATCATCAGGCCATCAAAATACAGAGGATTATTTCTGGCCACCTACATCTGGGCCCGGCTTGTGCTGATTAGTGTGGGGCAGTCATGAATCTGCAGGGATGCAGTCATCGCCCAGGCTATAAGAAAGCCGAGGTGAAGCGATGAAATATATTCCCGCTTTGCCCCATAAGTGCACAAGCAGTTACAGTGATGCCCTTGAAATGGACACAAGAACACATAACAGGGATGTTTTTTTTTATTGTAGGTTCTGTGTAGGGTGAAATCTAAAATCACCCAAATTTAACATTAAGTTTAAGTTTATTATTTAAATGCATAATAGCTACTAATTAAAAAGTCTAATCTCAAAGCTATTACTGCCCACTAACCCATTTCTGTTTCTAATTCTCCTTTTCATTGCTCAGCGGGCAAAGAACAGCCCTGCCGAGTGTTTCCTCAGTGATAGAAGAGGTCTTGAGATAGTTCATTACTTCATTAGTTCTGTTTTTATGACAGCAGTCACCGAGGAAGAATAGAAGTCCCCTTTTTTTTCTCATGCTCTCGTTTCAAATCTGTTAATGACCTCCGCCGCTGTGTCGACCTTCCGCATCGAACTTCACGCTAAACCAAAGAGAGCCGTGCGTTATCTTAACCTTTTAGTTCTAAACGCCTTTCGCCCAAAACACAAATGCATCATCTGCAGCTATCGGCTCAAACTGTGATCCTATTAATACTTAGGCAAGACAGTGTAAGAATGATGGATGTCCTCTAGAGCTGAATATCTGTTAGCTTGTTGTAAATGCACAGTGTGTAGAGCGCAGTGCTTTTCCATTTGCCCAGATCCCTCTCCCCCATATCCTCCTCTCTAAGGACTCATCCTATTAGCATTTATCCAAGGCCCGCTTTGTTGGGCCATCATTAATCATCTGAAATATGAGGGGAACCAGAATCTAGGGACTCGGGATACTTGATAGATCTCTCATCTTTAAATGAAGTGGGCGAACTGCTCCTCACATGCAAAGTCCCATAAAGGAGTGTGTTTTGAGACTAGTGCGTGTTTAAATGTGGAATGCATGCAAGTGAGGGTGGATGTCTCAAGGTGCTGCAGACGCAGCACAAGCAAAAAATAAAAAAAAGATGGACGATTTATGAAGAGAGAAGGAAAAGAGGGGGAGAAAAGAATACGCCAATAAAAAAGAAAAATCTGTGGCTCTGTGTTTAATTTTCTGTTTTGTAGTGCCATCCTCTTGTCAGTGTGAATGCACACAGACTTGAAGATGAAAGGATGATGGATGGTGATAGATACATGATAGATGAGACAGGGAAAGGATTAACAAAAGGAGATGACAGGCAAAACTGATTCAGACGGGCAAACAAAGCGATGATTCCCGCTGCTACCTGGGGTCGTGTCTATTTCACACACCCCCTGGTGTTTTGGCACAAAATGTTCCCCTGTTTAAAAAATATTTCTCTTTCAGTTGCCTTAAATAAAAAAAACTGACGTATTTGTTTCAAGTCACAGTTTGTAACCACCAGAGACAAGTGACTGAAATGGAAATAGTACAAACATTCATTATGCATGAGTTTGTAATCACATAAATACACTAATTAGCTTTTGGAGCGGCGGAAACAGGAAGTGGTAATCTCTTTTAGCCTAGCCAAGGTAGGGTGTTTGCACTGCACACCCTGGCGACTGTGTGACGATTACCGCCGCTTTGGTCGCGCCATTGCACCCAAACGTCACTCATCCCTGAGCTCTCTCACTCTCTGTGGATTTAGTTCCGTTTTATTTGACTCAAAGTGGTTAAAAGTGAAATAAAGTAACGCAGTGATGGAGAAAGTGTCTCCAGTAGCCACGTATCATTCCAAATGCACCCATGTCATGTTCTCCTCTTTTTACTGGCGCTGTTCTGGTCGTATGAAAGCGCCTGCTGCAAGCAGCCCCTAATTCGTCAGAATCAACAGCAGCTCCACCACACAAAGCCAAATTACTGCTGCCAACTCCCCTCACATTATAATTCACACTCTGCAGAGATGAGGGAGAATTTTGGAGTCATTCTGTGAAAATACGGATTAGTGGGATTTGAAGGAGGACTTACAGAAAAAAAAAAAGCTCCCTCTTTAAAGGAGCCAACAAGAACATGACAGGTTGTATGATCACAAGCCTTAAAGTGTTTCAGACTCCCACCAACACAACAAAAACCAAACCGGGCACAGTGAGGTTTGTTTTCATTCGAATCTGGTCATTACCCATGGTCCACAGACATGTTTTCTTGTTTTTTTTTTTTTTTTTATCCACAGGGTCTCCGTACAGAGACAAGATCACAATAGCCATCCTGCAGCTGCAAGAGGAAGGGAAACTGCACATGATGAAAGAGAAGTGGTGGCGAGGCAACGGCTGTCCCGAGGAGGAGAGCAAAGAGGCCAGTGCTCTGGGAGTCCAGAACATCGGCGGGATCTTCATCGTGCTGGCTGCTGGCCTGGTGCTGTCCGTGTTTGTGGCCGTGGGGGAGGTCCTGTACAAGTCAAAACAGAACGCTGAACTGGAAAAGGTAAAGGACTCCTTTGGTGAGGCATTATTAGATGGGCCAGGGTGACATCATCATCCTGGATAACTCATTACATTTTTGACTAGTTACCAATAATGTGGTTATTTACAAGCTATTTCTGTTTATTTCGTGGTTTTGTTGTAAATTGTTGTTTAATTTAGATAAAATTAGCTTTGAAACAAAATAAGTGTACAACAAGGATGCTGCAAGCAATAGTAGAAACTGTAAAGGACAACTGTAGTTTTAAAGGCATAGAATGCAAATTTTTTCTTATTTTTAAATCATTTTCTTGAGCCAGTATGTGCTAAAATGACCCTTTACAGGGATAATCAAATCCGCTGCCCCCTGTGTCCAAAATATTGTACTTTCAACTTCAGAGTGGCGTGCTGCCTCCTGTGAACTTAGTAAAAAAATGGAGCTGGCATACCTGGTGCTGCAGTCTGCTTCCAGCACGTTTTAGACAATGAACACAGCTGATTTGTTTAATTTAGTTATGAACTGCTCCTGTAGACACTAATGAAGGTTGGGAGACATTTCAGCTGTTAGATTACGGTGTTAAAGAGACAAACACACAGCAAGGAGATACGCTTTGCTAATGGTCAGCTTGCTTCTCACACCAAACCCTCTGTCAGGAATCTTGGTGTGACCTTTGACCCAGCTCTCACCCTGGATTTTCATGTCAGTTCTCTTGTCTGAACTTGAGCCAGTTCTCCACACCTTCATCTCCTCACGCTTAGACTACTGTAACTCTCTTTTCACGTGTCTGAGCAGAACCTTCCTGAACCATCTACAGGTGGTTCAGAACGCCTGTGCTCGGCTTCTGACCAAGTCCTCCAAACACACCCACATCACCCCGCTTCTCCTCCAGCTTCATTGGCTGCCAGTCAACTTCAGGGTTCATTTCAGGATCCTGGTTCTGGTCTATAGGGCCTTACATGGACAAGCACCATCTTACATTGGTGATCTTCTCAGTCCCTACAACCCCAGCAGGTCCCTGAGGTCCAGTGATCAAAGCCTACTGGTTGTGCAGCGCACCAGGCTAAAGACCAAAGGTGACAGATCCTTTGCTGCTGTGGTCCCCAGACTCTGGAACTCTCTCCCCCTGAGCCTGAGATCAGTGGACTCAGTGGTCTCCTTTAAACTCACCTGTTCAGGCTTTGGTGTGTCCTTCATCTCCACCCTCTCCTTATTCTGCTCTTATTCCGCCTTTCCCAGGATCCACTGATTTCCCTCTTTCCTATTCATTTTCTCTCTCCCTTTCCTAACATTTTTTTAAATCACAATTTTTAGTTTTTCTCTTTTTAAACATATGTTTAATTGTTTTTTTTTTCAAATATTTTTTTATTTTTTCTGTTGTGTTTAACTCTGACTCATACTGGTAACGTTTTCTTTTGTTAAGTGGTTAATCTGCACCTGAAATACTGGAATCTGGAATAATTATCATATTCAGCCAAGCATTTCACCAATACCAGCTGATAGGGGAGAACTTCACTGCTGCAGCCAAATACACATCATGCATCAGTAGAACTTTTGCAAAAATCCAGCAAAAGTCCTGTTACCCAGAGGTGGTTCATGAAAAAAAACAACGGTGACTCGTGACTTTATGAACATAACGCTGTGATTTTTATCATTTTACTGCTTGTGAGATCCAATTGGAGATTAGGTTTTTTAGACCGGACCTAACTTTAACTTGAAGTTTGGGAATCTGTCAGTAAGCCACAGACAGGATGCAGTTTTAGATAGAATTGTTTGGAATGCATTGGTTTCAAGCATTTATGCAACAGGGAAATCCTTAATAATTACATGAAACGTCTGCAAGAAGTTTAATTTTTTCAGGTTTCAACTTAAAGGGATTCTTGGCAGTTTTGGCTTGGCCCTCCATCCTGGAGCTTATTAGTGAAAATCTTTTCGCTGTGCGTTTGTCCTTTAACACCATCTAATAACTGAAATGTCTCCTCAGCCTTCATTAGAGTATAAAGAAGTGATTAATCACTACATCAAACCAATCAGCTATGTTCATGATCTAAAAGATGCAGAAAATGTGCTGGAAGCAGACTGCAGCGCTGGAACGTCAGCTCCATTTAAGCCCAACAGGGAGCGGCCTCCACTCTGAAGTTGCAAGTGGAATATTCTGCCACGAACAGCGGCGGGGGTCTGAGCGACATTTCATTAACCCTGGGTCATTTCAACACTTACTGGCTCAGGAAAATTCATTCAAAGTATGGAAAATGTTGCATAGACAGAGCAGAAAAGGTAAAACACACTAAAGATAGGTTTTTGTTGGTAGAGTAGATCTTTGTTTCAGTGTACAACTCTTCCTCTGGTGCCATTCTTTCCGTTTGCTCATTAGTGGCACCTGCAGTCCTAGAGGACAACTACAACAGCGCAAGTTTAAAAAAAAATAAAACTAAGGAAACCCTCTGACCCTGTCGACTAATATTACAGAAGAGCAAAAACGTTATTATGTTTTGTTTGTTACATATCAAACTCACTTTGTTTTTGTTGCTGAAAGAGAATTAAACATCTGCTGCCCAGCAGGTTTTAGGTTTTTTTTTCTTTTCTTTTCTTTTTTTTTTGATGCTCTAGGACTCTAACCTTTTGGCTAGACATGATCATTTCAATCCTTTGAGCAGAACAGGTAACACTGACGTTAATATGCAGCCCGTGTTTTTGTTGCGATAGCGCCCAGAGACCGTCTGCAAAGTGCAAAAATATTCAATAGCTTCACTCTTACTGATCCTAGTCTCACTAAATCAACAGGAATCACCAACTGGCTCATGCTAATTAAGATGCCATATTTATATTAAAAATAAACGTTCTGCTTAATTGTCAGCTAAACCATCTGGTGCTAAATTACCCCTATTGCCCCAAATGTATTAAAAATACAAAAAAGGCAAACATTCTTGTAGTTTTATTGGTATAGAGGGTTCATGCATAACAACTTTCAGCTGTTTGACAAGCTCATCCAGCCGTTCGTTTTCCGTTTTTTTATATTTCACTCTTTACAAAGTACCTTTTAGTTAGTTATGCATAAATCACATTTCTTCTTCAATGACATCAGAATCTGCTTTGCTCTCAGTAAAGCTCCTCCATCTCTGGAAAAGTGACCATCTGAATGCAATTATTACTGCATGTGGAAATGTCTTTTAATCTGCATACAGAGCACCCTTTTTGCAGCATTACTTCCCCTCTGGCTGTGTTTCTGGAAACAGACTAAATATACTTCAGTCTTTTATCTGCGCTCTAATTTAGCACACTCACACGAGTGCACATGATCCATCGCACAGAATGGAGTATTTATTTTAGTGCACCATAATATGTGCAATTGTATTTCAACATAATTGTTAAATTCCCTCGATGGTGTGCTTTAATTATTTACTTGTGGAGAATTAGCATAGCGCAGCAGCGTGTTACTATATTGCCATTGTAATTATTTTAAGCTTCTTCTACAGACTGCATATATTTCGGAACACATCTTAGCTATCATTAATCAAGAGCTGCAGGACTGGGTCACAATATTCAGATGATTTGCAAATGCCATGATTTCTAGGCTTCCAAGGTGTTGGTAATTTGCATACGGACAACAAACCTCTCCTTCTCCCTCCTTGCCAACCTCCTCTACTCTCTCCTCTATCACCACCATTTTTAACCTCCTTTTTGTTTTTCTTACCATTTATTCTATCGTTCTACTTGCATTTCTCTACTTCATCAATCCACTTTTTAAATAATAAAAAGGTCTCATTTGTATGCTAGACAAATATAAGTTTAAAAAAAGGGAGGAAAAACAAAACTACCTGGCGCCCGAGCCATCTGCAGATACCAATCTCACACACCCACACACAAACAAAAAATAATAGCCTCGTATCTGAATGCGCTTGCTTTTCTTTTACATCTTCTCCCCTCCCACACCCTTTGAATTTGAATTGTGTTTTGCATAATCGGGACAGGGATGGATTGGAATTGGATTTGGTGAAGTTGGTGCAAAGGCTTGTTGACATTTTACAGGATTTTACAGCACATACATAATTCAGAGACAAACAGAAGCTCATACGTTACATAACGCTGGGATGTTTTAAATGGGTTACCAATATTTTTGGATTTAATCTTCTTAAGTGGATATGTTGTCCTCGAGGTACCATCATTACATTCTCTAACATGTTTCTCTCTGGATTTGGTTCTTGGCACGGAGCAAAAGGCTGTGAAACAATATTTAGACTTTTGTGCCACGGAGAAACCGACAGCAAGGAATCTGGAACAGAGAGCAGTTTTTGCAAGTTTATAAATCAAAACAAAAAGGTTTGCTTTACTTGGTAAATTTTAATCTGTCATTTAATATTTTACTCGTATTTTCTGAAAGGTGGTTTTGTTGTGAAAGTACAGCTCAAATTCTTTTGATCTTTTTAAATGTCAGTGATAATCCCCTTCAGCTGTCCAACCATTTATTAAATCTGGCACTAGTGATGAAGATTTTAGTAACCTTTACATCATCAGTTTGTGTAAATTGACCAGAGAAGTCAAACTCACATTTCAAAGGTTCAGATCTAGTTTCAAAGATCTTATACAAATACTGATAAATGTGATACAAAGAAGGATAAATGTTGCACAAATAGTGACAAATGTGATACAAATAGTGATAAATGTATAAATAGTGATAAATGTACAAATATGGATACAGTTTGATACAGGGATAAATGTTTATACAAATGGTGATAAATGTGATACAAATAGTGATAAATGTTTAACAAAATTGTGATAAATGTTTTACAAAATAGTGATAAATGTGATACGAATAGTGATAAATGTACAAATATGGATACATTTTAATACAAATAGGTATAAATGTTTATACAAATGGTGATAAATGTGATACAAATAGTGATAAATGTTTATACAAATAGTGATAAATGTGGTATAAAAATGGTAAATGTTGTACAAAATAGTGATAAATGTACAAATAGTGGTAAATGTACAAGAACTGGATACATTTTTATACAAATAGTGATAAATGTACAAATATGTATACATTTTGATACAAATAGTGATAAATGTGATAGAAATAGTGATACAAATAGGGATAAATATTTCTACAAATAGTGATAAATGTGATTTAAATAATGGTAAATGTTGTACAAAATAGTGACAAGTGTGATACAAATAGTGATAAATGTATAAATAGTGATAAATGTACATATGTGGATACATTTTGATACAAATAGGGATAAATAATTATACAAATGGTGATAAATGTAATACAGATTGTGATAACCGTACAAATAGTGATACATGTGCACATATGGATACATTTTGATACAAATAGGTATAAATGTTTATACAAATGGTGATAAATGTGATACAAATAGTGATAAATGTGATAGAAATGGTGATAAATGTTTATACAAATAGTGATGCATGTGATACAAATAGTGATAAATGTAATAGAAATAGTGATACAAATAGGGATAAATGTTTATACAAATAGTGATAAATGTGATACAAATAATGGTAAATGTTGTACAAAATAGTGACAAATGTGATACAAATAGTGATAAATGTATAAACAGTGATAAATGTACAAATATGGATACATTCTGATACAAATAGAGATAAGTAATTATACAAATGGTGATAAATGTAATACAAATAGTGATACATGTGCACATGTGAATACATTTTGATACAAATAGGGATAAATGTTTATACAAATGGTGATAAATGTGATGCAAATAGTGATACATTTATACAAATAGTAATAAATGTGATACAAATAGTTATAAATGTGATGCAAATCGTGATAAATGTGATACAAATAGTGATAAATGTACACATATGGATACATTTTGATACAAATAGGGATAAATGTTATACAAATAGTGATAAATGTGATACAAATAGGGACAAATGTTTATTTATACAATTAGTGATAAATGTGATACAAATAGTGATACATGTGATAAAAATAGTGATAAATGTTGTACAAATAGTGATAAATGTACAAATAGTGATAAATGTTAATATAAATAGTGATTAATGTACAAATATGGATGCATTTTGATACAATGTTAAATGTTGACACAAACAGTAATAAATGTGATACAAAAAGTGATAAATGTTGATACAAATAGTGATTAATGTGATACAAATAATGATAAATATTAATATAAATAGTGATACATGTGATAGAAACAGTGATAAATGTTGCACAAATAGTGATAAATGTTGTACAAATAGTGATACATGTGATAAAAATAGTGATAAATGTTGTACAAATAGTGATAAATGTTGTACAAATAGTGATAAATGTACAAATAGTGATAAATGTTGTACAAATAGTGATAAATGTTGTACAAATAGTGATAAATGTACAAATAGTGATAAATGTTGTACAAATAGTGATAAATGTTGTACAAATAGTGATAAATCTACAAATAGTGATAAATGTTGTACAAATAGCGATAAATGTACAAATAGTGATAAATGTGATACAAATAGTGATAAATGTGATACAAATAGTGATGAATGTACAAATATGGATGCATTTTGATACAATGTTAAATGTTGAAACAAACAGTAATAAATGCGATACAAAAGTGATAAATGTTTATTCAAATAGTGATTAATGTGATACAAATAATGATAAATGCTAATATAAATGGTGATACATGTGATACATATAGTGATACATGTGACAAAGATAGTGATAAATGTTGTACAAGTAGTGATAAATGTTATACAAATAGTGATAAATGTGATACAGAGTGATAAATGTCCAAATATTGATAAATGTGATACAAATAGTGATAAATGCGATACAAATAGTGATAAATGTACAAATAGTGATAAATACGATACAAATAGTGATAAATGTACAAATAGTGATAAATGTGATACAAATAGTGATAAATGTACAAATAGTGATAAATGCGATACAAATAGTGATAAATGTACAAATAGTGATACATGTGATACAAATAGTTATAAATGTACAAATAGTAAGAAATGCGATACAAATAGTGATAAATGTACAAATAGTGATAAATGTGATTCAAATAGTGATAAATGTACAAATAGTGATAAATGTGATACAAATAGTGATAAATGTTGTAGAAATAGGGATAAATGTACTGCTGTTCCCCCTTTCTACCACTAGATGCTGTTCCTACGCATGCTCAGAGCTGTTTTTTTTACAACATGTTCACGTACAAGTACAAATTGGTAAATATCACACAATGAGTAAATTCATGCCTACGCACGAAATACGCACAGATCTGTGCGTAAGTATGGTTGATAAATGAGGCCCCTGATTCCTACCTTCTTATAAAGTAGTGGTAGCTACTCACTCCTGGTCCTGAAGAGACGGTCGGTATCCAGCATGTTTTCCTTGTACTCCAACACACCTAATTCAGTGGTTGAGTCACCAAGCCTGCTAATGACCTGCTGACTGAAATCAGGTGAGTTGAAACAGAGTACAAACTAAAACATGCTGGATAGAGGCTCTCCGGGACCAGGAGTGAGTACCGCTGTTGTAAAACAACACTAAAGAGTTTTTAACACTTAAGTTTTTGCTTTCAAATAGGTTTCAGTGGTTCTTCAGGCAGCTTCTTCACATGGGACTGCACTCTGCTGCCCTCTGCTCACCAGAAGCCAGTTCCAGAACTTTGGTAGTTTGTGTAGGAACAACAAGGAGGGAGCGTTCTGTGCTGGAAGCTCATATAGAGGCTAGCAGTTATCTTTTTCCATTTGCTGACTGTCAATAAAAGGAAGAAGTTTGCTTGTTTGATTGGCATAATGGTGGATTCTGGAAGTAAAAGGAAGAGAGTAATGTGTTTGGAGGTGAAGCAAAGAGCTAAATCTGGAGGGAACATCAGTAAAGCCTACACTCGTTGGAGGCTGTGACTGCGTTGGTTACGACACTTGTAATTTCACTTTCCAGTAGGGGGAAAGCAACAGGCTTGAGAAAAAATATCTGAGATGTATTTTTACATATGAATATTTCCTGTTCATTTACATGATGGGGGCGGGGCTTAAAATGACTAGTGGAACCAGCCACCAGGGCGTTTCCACCGCCTGTGTTCTTGTTCCAGGAGTCTCCAACCTGTGACTCTACAGCTCTTCAAAGAGGTTCAAATTTTGCTATTTTCTCCTCTGATTGGCAAAATGTGCAAGGATTTTCTTCAGCAGAATGCTAATATTAAGAGTTTGTTGCATCATACCGATACTTTCTGATGTCATATGCTGGCAGGATTCTGTTTGACCTGTCAGACTTTGAGGTTTGTTGTAAATTAAAAAAAAATCATAATAACTCAGATATTTTGTTTTTGGCATCATGAGATTAACTTGTGAAAAGAATCATTTTAAATCACTGGATTTCACAATTTTCTCTCGTTTTTTGACTGAATAAATATTAACATTTTACACATGAACTTCATTGTTGATGTATTTCTATTAATGGGTAAAATTTTCAATGAACAAATACATTTTTATTGATAAGTTTTTAACTACGTTTTAAAAAGTTATATTTTATAGTGTAGCAGGGGTGTTGTTATTATTTTCAGGTACTGGGGGCCAAAACCTTAAATCTTATGGTGTCGTTTTTTCATTTAATGCTTTCACTTTTGTGGTCTTCTTCTCTCAAATCTTGAAAGTCATCTTCAGTATTTTCTTTTTTTATTTTTTATTAAGTTCTAAAAATTGTTTAACCACATATTTTTCTCTGTCGGTTCTCATTATTCGTCTCATCAACATGTTCTCTCTTCACGCTCAGGAGAAATGTGACAAACATGACGTGTAAAAGAAGCCACCTGTTATACCTTCTCTCCCTCTCTGCTTTCCTCTGCAGCGATCGTTCTGCAGCGCCATGATGGATGAGCTGCGCGTGTCTCTAAAGTGCCAACGCCGTCTCAAACAAAAGCCTCAGCCGCCCGCCATTGTCAAGACAGAAGAGGTCATTAACATGCACACGTTCAATGACAGGAGACTCCCAGGAAAGGAAACCATGGCATGAACGCTGACAACACCCCGAGCGGACCCCCTCAATAAAAACTACGGAGGGGGAAGACAGGGGTCACATTAGTGCTGACTTGACTACAGACTGAGGTTAGCAGACACAACAGGACTCCTTTTGAACCCACTTGCTTATGTAGACAGATGTTTCCTGTGGAAATGCAGATACCTGAGCAGTGTCACCTCACTGTGACATTTACTTTTGAGGGAGCTGGAAGCTGCGGACTCGCCGCGGTCGGGTCGGAAAAATGACGGAAGCAGATCCAAGCAGGTTTGCAGCTAAAAAGAATAAAGTGAAAATAAATAAATAAAAACATTTATCTGGTCCACACCAGAAGTGGATTTAAACACACGTAAACGCACACACACACACACACACACACACACACACACACCCTATTTTACACGCTTAACTCTTGTGATTAAGGGGAAAATCTGTTTGGGCCGTAAAACCAGTTGTAGTTTTTCTGTTGATGTCGACGCCCCGCCCCCCTCGTCTTACCTCCATGTGTGTGACCCTGACCCCACCAGCCCCTCCCTTCAGTGACTTGAGTTTATCGCCAATAATTTATACAAACACTAATCTCACGCACACATGAAACAGTAGTCAGTGCCATATGGTTTATTATAAGCTGATGTAGAAAAGTGATATTTAGTTTGCAATCATCTACGCTGACCTTGTCAAATACGTATCATTTTCTTCTGTAATGCCTCTCTTGTGCCAAAGTTCTGCCATTTGTAAAGAACTTTCTACATGCCGATTATGTTCAACGCCTCTGCAAGAAATGTAAACTACCAGAGTTCTGAGTCCCGCCCATCTCCACTCAAAGTCTACAGTTTTCAGTCTGTATGAGTTGTTTAAAAGGCCAGATTTCTACAAATGTGTTTTTTTGTACAAGAACAAGAGGTTTTGTAGTACTTTGTATCATGGTAGCCCCTCCTGTGGACAGAACATGTAGCAGATACTAACTCAGCCCTCGAATTCTGTCAACAAGCTTCAGGCTCTGCTGTGTAGAGTTCATCTCTTTCATCAATCAAAGATTGATTATTGTCTGCCTGTCTCCAGGGACCAGCGGTACACACTGTTTGGGGACAATGTAGTGGATTTTGGTGGGTGAGCGCAATAGAATTGTAAATGAAGCGATGCTCAAAGGAAGCAAGGCGGTGACTCAATCTGGAGAGCTGTTGTCCTGTCAGCAGAGTCTTGCAGAATGCGAGCGCGGGTAACTAACAGTAGCTTTGATGAATCACCATCAAAGAAATGGTAAATCATGCAAATGTTGCTTGTGTGGAATATAAACATAACTGTAGTTTTGTAGCCGTGTTGTACTACAATGAGATTCCTTTTTTTTTTTACCTTGAAAAGTCCTAAAAGTCTTATTTTCTAAACTTGGGGAAATAATTGCAGTGCAGACCAACACACAGGCAGATTTCAGAGTTTAAATGTTAAAAAGAAATATTGAAATTAATGTTATTTATGTAATTCTAACAAATAACAAACTGACAAAGTGGACAGTTGCATCTGAAAAATGTCTTTCATTGTTTCTTTTAAAGGGACCATATCATGGAAAATCCACTTTTGGGAATTTTTACCATGTGATACTGTTATTTCGTCATGAAAAAAAAAGAATAAAATTTGGCTGCATTCTTGCATTTTCCTGTTTCAGCAGCACATTTTGAGTTTTCCTTTGAAAATCCTGTAAAGGCTTAAAGAGCAAGTCACCCCCAAATCAACTTTTTTTTTTGCAGACAAACAAACTATATAAATGAGTATTTAATCCCGCGGTGGACATGTGTAGTCAATAATTTGGCACTTTAGTGCTCTTAGTTAAAATTTAAATATTCTGCCTAAAACTGTCAATGTTGCGTCCTCTTCAGGTAAAAACTCTGCACTGCGTTTGAATTTAAATCTGCTGCCGCTATTGGCTAAGAGGTACACTATGATGTTAGCTGGTACATTATGATGTCACAATGTCATTGTGAACCTATGCGTGTGTTTTTGTTAGCGGCTCCGCCCCTTTGGTCTGCCAGTTAACAGCATTTGTTGCATTTATCAAACAGGAAGTAGGAGTGGAGCTAGACTGTGGTAGGTGGTGACTTGCTGCTTTTCCTCTCCCAGAAGCTAGTCTCTGGTCTGAAACCTGTCTCCCCTGGCCAGCACAGAACATGTGGTTTAGGCGGCTGGTGTCATGGTAGTCCAGCAGTTAGAGTGCTAGGCTAAATGCCTTTAACACTGGACTGCCACAATCAATACAGCAACTGACTCGCCTAAGGATACTGTTGTAGGCACGTTTTGTCGGAGCGGGCATGGGCAGAGTTTCACGAAAAAAAAAAGCATTTCAGGCTGATGAAGATAACTTGTATTTAAAGAGCATGTCAACCCCAAATCAACTTTTTTTTCTGATAAAATATATAAATGCGTGTTAGATATTTTATCCAAAAGAACACACACCAGAGAAGATTGGTAGGTTTGATGCGCTGCAGCGGAGAGCGTGATCAGAACATCACTTCCCAACTCTGCAGTCCGCTCCCACCACAGCACTTTTATTTAGAGAGACAAACGGAAGATAAAGACCTATTCATCATGTCCTACGCTAACCAATAGCAACGTTGCTTCTGAGCTAAAGCTAACCAATAACAGTGTTGCTTCTACCTAAGGCGGGACCTTCCAAAAAGGAAGTCTCAACTAGGGTTGTCACGGTATGAAAATTTAACCTCACGGTTATTGTGACCAAAATTATCACGGTTTTCGGTATTATCGCGGTATTTTTTAAACGGTGTTGCATATGTTCAGAAAGCATTGATAGTCCTGTTCTGCACAAACTGAAATAGTTCTGAAAAGGTTTAACAGTGTTTATTAAACCTAAAATAACACAAAGCCTTAGCAAAAGTGCAACTTTTCACAAGTAAAGAACAAATAGCTTATTTTTCTGGAACATGTTACAGTAGTCAGTGCAGGTTTAAATTATACAAATCCAAACATTCGAAACATAAACAATATGTAAACAAATCAAATAAACACCACTTGTTTTCTCATATACTTGTTTTCTTCATTATCAAAATGAAAATCTAAAACTCCAGTCCACACTTGACTTGAGCACTGTACAAGTCAACCTTAAAAAAATATGTATTTAAAATAAATAGCCACTTTAAACAAATTACTAAAATAACTACTACACTATGTAATCAAATCCAAATGTTCAAGTATAAATGGCATTGAATAAGTAAACAAATCAATGACAAGGAACTAATTGTATATTTCTCTTCATCATCAACAAATAAGATGCTTCATCCAGCAACAGGGTGTCCGTGACACGGTTTAAATGCTGGCAGAGGGCGCTGCGGCTGCAGTATATAGTGACTCGTTGCATTCTCCCTCAACCAAAAGTCCTTGCGTCATGCATTTAAGCTAAAATGCTAATGTTAACTTACCTTGCACTGGCTGTAGAGACGTGGGTGATTGTCAGGCAGATGTGCCATTAGATTTGAAGTGTTGCTGCCTTTTGCAGACACTTGTTTCCTGCACGTTCTGCAAACGGGATAGCAGTCTTCTATTAACTGTCCCTCAGCGTTTTTCAGAAATCCAAAATATGCCCATACTTCCGATTTAGTCTTCTTTGACGGCTGATGGATGTCCTGGGCGCTGCCGTCTCCTCCTTCGGCCATTATTTCAGCTTCAAAGTTTTGGTGCCGTTGCAAACTAAAAAGTGCGTGTGCGCGCCGCGGGAACTTCAGCTGAAGCGACGGTGGCTGGTAAGGGTCATCGCGCCGAAACCGCGGCCACGGTAAACCCACCGAGATAATATAGTTTTTTAAAAACTGGACGGTTATTTTTATTGTCAACTTTTTTACCGGGGTTTACCGCTATACCGGTTACCGTGACAACCCTAGTCTCAAGTTACATGGGTGACTGCTAGAACCTAACATCCCCCACTGAGGCAGAGCAAACTTGATCTCTCAGAAGACATTTCAGGGCCTAAACCCTTAAAAAGAACATTTAAGATAAGTGAAATATGAAGAAAAACCCTAACAATGCACATCTAATCGTGCTGCAGACACGTGTAGTCAATAGTTTTGCACTTTAGTGAATTTTAGTAAAAATTTTCTGCCTAAAACTGTCAGTGCTGTGCTGTTGTCAGGTAAAAATGTTGCACTGCATTTGAATTTAAATCTGCCATCGCTATTGGCTAAGAGGTACCATAGAACGTTAGCTGGTACCAAATGATGTCACAATGTCGTTGTGAGCCTGTGTGTGTGTATTTGTTAGCAGTTCCGCCCTCTCTGTCTGCTAGACAACAGCATTTGTTGCATTTTTTCAAACAGGAAGTGGGAGAGGAGTAAAAATCTGGTAGGGGGTGACTTGCTCTTTAAGATAAATGACATCTCAATAGTGCCAACGGTAATATTTTATCATCTACGGTGCCTACCTTTGCTCTCAAAGATTAAAAATAGCATGATATGGAACCTTTGAAGTCAACCAAAAGATATAACTTATTTTGGAGTTCTCTGGAAAAATGAGACACTTTCATGAATGAGACTAACCTAATTTGGCATCTTTGCATAACTTTGTATGAAAGTATGTATGCATAAATCCTCTTTCTTGTTGCTGTGTGTTTGCAGCATTCACCAACATCTTCTTGTTCCATTTCTTCCATGAGCTTTTTTCAGTATCTTCTTGGCTACCATCCACCATGGCTCAAAGGTCTTTTTTTCTTTATGCAAGTTCTCTCAGGCGTATTTCAATCTGATGACTTGTCTTTGGTTCTCCGTCTCTAGTAAATTCCAAGCTAAAAACCAACACTGTAGATTGAAAAATCAATTAAAATATTTTGGTAATCACGTCCATGTTTGTAGAGGGAAAAATTTATTTATTTTTTTTCTGGGTACAAATAATGTTATTTGACTCTCATATCATTAACTACATGTTGGTGCTGTTATGTTGCTACGTATTCTCTTTAAAAACACCCTAAAAGCTCAGCTTTTGTTGCTTCAATTAAGATGGGAAATGCGGAGCTTTTCTAGAAAAAATACTTACATGCTTGCACTTCTTGGTTCTTTTAAATCACTGAAAATAGGAGTTGTTATTTACCTTGTTTTGCTAATGTTTTGGCTAATTACTATAGCTGACATACATTTCACTGATAAATCAGCATCTCGTTTGACCCCGAGGCTGGTCGCACTGGAGTTGAGGTTCATGGAGGGGAGAGAAACTGAATCAGATGCTTGTAGGCCACTATCTTTTGGATTAGAGAGAATAGCCTCAGTCTTGTCATCATTAAGCGTTGTCATTTGACTGTGTAGCATTTGTATTAACAGGTTACAAAGTTAAGTAAAAGTTGTTTCATAAGCTATCATCCATCCATCCAGGGGCAGCAGTCTAAGTGGAGAGGACCAGACTTCCCTCTCCCCAGCCACTTGGGCCAGCTCTTCTGGGGCAATCCCAAGGCGTTCCCTGGCCAGCTTAGAGACATAGTCCCTCCAGCGTGTCCTTGGTCTTCCTTTAGGCCTCCTCCAGGGAGTCATCCAGGAGGCGTCCTAATCAGATGCCCAAGCCACCTCAACTGACTCCTCTCATTTTGGAGAAGCAGTGGGTCTACTCTGAGCCCCTTCCGGATGACCGAGCTTCCCACCCTATAAGCTATCATCTTGTCTTTATTATTAGATTGCACATAACTGATCACACTTCAAACTAGAAGCTAATGATGGGTACATTAGAGCATTCTGGTGCAATAAGCTATACTTTTATGCATGACACAATTAGTCGACTAATCGTTAACAAAACTGGCGATTAGTCGACCCCTACAAATAGCAGAAGAAGAAAAAAATAAAAAAGCACCCATCTAGCACCGTCCAGGTCAAGGAGTAGACGTGTGTTTTTAGATGGCTCTTAAACTGCTGAGGGAAGGAGCCTGTTTCACACCGGCCGGTTGGTCACTCCAGAGCCTCAGTACCAGAACCGAGGAAGTACGACTCTCTCGCGATTTCAATCTAAGCCTAGACACTTCCAGCAGCTGACTGAAGGGGGCGCTGTGATTATGGCTGGAAGCAGAACGGCGCTCAATTCAAAATGTACAGGCTCTACTGGACGGGAGCGGGCTTGGTAAAAAAATGTTTTTGATGTGTTGCCTACATTATATCACAGTTCAGGGTACGACCATCTGTTTTACGGATTTCTAAAAAGATCATAGCTAATGCCTGAAAGCGGGAAAACTCCAGATTGCTGCTTAAATGACATTTCTCTCGACAGCTAGTGGTGTGTTTGGTCAAATATGGACAGACATTTTCACAAATGGAAATAAAATATGTGGAGTAGTTTTGTGTATTCATTATATTTTATAGATTTTAAATCTGAGAGAGATGAGGTTTGAAAAGTTGCAGCATTTCTTCATTTATTATGATATTTTTTCTGTCCTTCATAGTGTGCAAAGTTTTTATTGAAAAGAGACACTGAAGGCAAATCCTGAATCCCCAAATTATAGGAATTTTTTTGCCTGTTTTTCTTTTTTACCATCCTGAGATTAGCATCACCCCTTTTACTTCCCAGGAACACCACACATAATTGTTGGGTCATTTTAATATCACTGCTGTCATTATAAATATGAGGAACATGGATACAGTCTAGAAAGGTGCATCATTAAATAACTTATTTATACAAACCTATTCTGA